TTACCCCCCCCCCTCTTTATTTGACTCTCTGCATCTTCACATCGCTGCGCTCGTCTGCACTACGATCGTTCTCTACATCATCAGCAGTTGCTTTAGATCCACTATAGTGATATACAGTATTGTCTCTCTGGCACATTTCACTTCCCATAATGCCCTGAAGGTCACCATGGCAAGATTTGGTCCTTTCTTATATAGTTGAGTAATATTCTGATGTGTTTCAATAATCCGGCTGTTGTAAATAATGCAAATAATCATTTTTATCTTTATATTGTACAAAATGTCATGTTACTTGCTGTGTAGGCTTGAACAGGCCAAGAGCCCATATTTGTATGCTTGTTACTCTGCTCTAGAACATTCCCCTGAAACACAAGATCTGATTCAATTCATTTCCCTGCTTTCCCAATGAAACACCGCAGTGTGGCTCAGTTGGTTGAGTATCATCACTTGTTAGTTGATTGATTCTAGGTCTGGGAGGCAACCGATTGTTGATTCCTTCCTCTCTCCCTCTCTGAAAAATCAATAATAAATAAATGTGTTATCTTGGATGGGATCCTAGGACAGAACAATATTAGAAAAGTTAATTATGAATAAAGTATGGCGTTTAGTTTATAATAAGGTATCAGTCTTGGTTCATTAGTTGTGATAAATGTAAGGTACCAACTTAAAATATAACAAGAGAGCATAGCATGCATGGCCCCACCGCAGCAGGGCCTGGGCTGCGTGTGAAGAACAACAGCCTTAGTCAGTCAAGACGCCCGCACGGGCTTTTCCGTGCCCCGCTCCCCGGGAGGGAAAGCAAAGCCTCCTGAGAGCCCGAGGGAGTCCCACTCCGGTCGCTCCTGCTTTCCCAGCTCCCGCCACAAAAGCTGACATTCAACAAGGTGTTTTCCCCCAAGGGGGTGCACCGTTCCCGGAGGTACTGCAATACCGGGTCGATGCGTGGAGTGGACGGAGCAAGCTCCTATTCCAACTCCCAGCTTCAAAAGTACATTTAATATAATGTCCTCGGATAGAGGACGTATCAGATATTAAACTGATAAGAACAGATACTACACTTGATCTTAGCCAAAAGGCCGAGAAGCGATGCCGCCTGCCCCGCCCGCGCCCGCACCCTCCTCTTGCCACACATCTTCAAGGCAGGGTGAGCACGCGAAGCCTGAGCCTCACGCCTCGTCTCATTGCCAGTGCGGTGGGTCCCGCCAGACTCTCCCGCAGATGGGTTTGTGCTCTCCATTTTCAACCAGAGGTCCCATATCCCCGGTTGTTCCCTGGTTCCCGCGCAGAAGCCATTTCCAATCTGCATGCCCCGCCCTTTCCCCCCCTTCCCTCCCCTCCCCTCCCCTCCCCCCAGGAGCCGTGACCTCCGGGGCGGACTCCACCCTCCCCCCGGCCTCCGCACGCGGTGGTCCCAAACCCGGCCATCCGCATCCCTACCTCCTCCCCTCCCTGCCCGGGCCCTCTCTGCTCGCGTCCGCGCTCTTCCGGCCGGCCGGATTCTGTCCAACACTTGGGGTCCCGGGTGGTTGCGTCCTGAGAAGGTGGTCGCCTGGATTACATTAATCGGAAAGGGGAACATTTTCCGTCGCAAATCCAGGCATTGGAGTCTGAGGCCAGAGCGTGGGCCCAAAGACAGAGGTGTAGTAAATAAAGCATGGAGGGCGACTCGGGGGGTGAGGGGACTGGTTGGCACCCCGCTGACCGGCCCAGCACCTGGAGCATATTATGATCCGGGCCACGGAAATGCCCCAGAGAAAGCTTGCTCTTTCCTGCCGTGATCGCCCCTGGCCTGAGACTCGGACGCACGTGGAAAGCAGTTGGCAGCGTGGCACTGGAGCCTAACGTCCTTGGGACGTTTGACTACTGACTGACAGGTTTCCTGCCTGACGCACCGCACCACCCAGACACAGCCAGTCCAGCCCCCGGAGGCAGGTACCTCGCAGGCCGCTGAGATGCTAGCCCCGAAACGACCTCCCTGGTGGGTAAGGGGTGCTGCCCGCTCCCAGGACCCTTAGGAGGACAGGACCTTGTGCGTCCAAAGAGTTCTGTCTTTGCACCAGCGGTTTTTCCCCCGAGGGGGTGCACCGTTCCCGGAGGTACTGCAATACCGGGTCGATGCGTGGAGTGGACGGAGCAAGCTCCTATTCCAACTCCCAGTTTCAAAAATACATTTAATATATTGTCCTCGGATAGAGGACGTATCAGATATTAAACTGATAAGAACAGATACTACACTTGATCTTAGCCAAAAGGCCGAGAAGCGATACCCACCGCTCCGCCCGCGCCGGCTCCCTTCCGCCCCCGCCCACATTGCACTCACGGTGAGCCGGATCACCGGCAGTCCAGGTCTCACTTCCTTTGCTTCCTTGGCAGCACCATGGCACTCACCAGATGGTAGACTCTTGTGCCGGTGTTTTAATCCTCTATATTTTTAAAGAGAAATTTTATGTCTCTTGTGGCGTCGTCCTTTGCGGGAGGTTGGGCGGCAAACGGCATTTCTAATTTGCATGCCCCGCCCCTGGAGGCGTGGCTGCGGCGGGCGGACTCTCCCCGCGCCGCGGCTCCGAACCCGAGCTGGTGGTACAGGCTCAGAGAAAGGACGGAGTGTGAGGGGATTCGCGCCGGGCGGGCGGCGGGAGAGGCCAGTAGAAGGGGCTGCTGGCAGAGGGGTTTCCTGAAGACAGACAAGGCGCTAGGGACGCCCAGGCTGTCTGTATTGCGGGCGACTTGGCCGCCCGCCCGCCCGCCCGGCGGAGAGCTGAGCTCCGAACCTGCCTTGTCCCATAAGGCGCTCCTTCCGAGTCCGGGGAGCGCGAGGTCCGGAGGGGGGGCTTTCCCGGAGGGCGGGCCCGGGCGTGTCCGGTGGGAAGGGCCCCGGCGGGCCTCCAGGAGGGCTTCTCTCCCGCTCCAGCACCGGCGTCTCGCGGGGCTTCGGTGCAGGCACCGGCCTCCTGGGCTCCGCCACTTGCAGCTCCCTCCGCCGCGTACGCCGTTTCCCTTTCGCCTTCGTCACGGCCTGGCCAACTCGTCCCACCCCGTCGTTCAGTCAAGTGCGCCGCTCGCCGCCTTCGTCAGCACTCGCTCCGGTTCCCAGCTGGCTCGTTGCTCACTCGTAAAACGCTGAGCCGGAGACCTTGTGCCTCGGTCAGGCCGAGTCAGAGCAGCAGCCGCTACGAGGCCCCGGCCGGAGGGCGGGGGAAGGTGGCGATCGGGCCGGGCTGGCGGGACACCGGGGAGGAGGGAGGCGACTGCTCGGGGACGCTCTGGGCATCACGGCCAGTCAGTAGGTCAGGCTCGCCCCCCACGCACACCTCACCCCGACGCGCAACCCCTGCCCGTTCCCGCCCCCGGCCTGGTCCCCGTCCCCTCCCGTTTTCCCTCTGGGCCAAAGGCTGCCGGCTGCCCGGCCAGCGTGCACCTTCCCCGCCCTCCTTTCTCACGGAACCTCAGTGTGGCCGGGGAGGTTACAGCTCTTTCCTCGGACCTCAGAAGAGCCAGCAAGACTGAAACTCGGTCGGTCCTTTTCCCCGGCGGCGCGGAGAGCCTGATCGCCCTTGTTGCCCGAGCCCGTCCCGGCTCCAGCCCCTGGGCTGAGCGCCGCGCGTGTGTGTGAATTACCTCGTGGATTCACTCTACACGCCTATGAGGCGGACGGTCATCTTCGCCGTCTCCTACTCGTCGTCACCACCGCCGATCATTACGGGTCGGGGCAGGACTACGGCCAGGCCAGTGAGGCCCTCGCCATGAGGGTGTGTGTGTGTGTGTGTGTGTGTGTGTGTGTGTGTGTGTGTGTGTAATTTAGTGGAGTGTCCACAAAACTCTTCAGTCATCAAGAGAAATACTATTTTAATACAACTTGTCTTGATGAGGAGGTATTCCCGGTGTTTTTGGTGCTCCCTTACGGTTTTCGTTTTCCCAAGGTAGGCGCCTCACTCATTTCATTCCGCTCTAATCCCCACCTTGTCCTCACCATCCCCATTCCGTGGACACGCGCTGTCCAGCCCACAGCCGAGACGCAGGTGGCTGCTGAGCGCCGGGTGTGTGCTTAGTCCTTCCCGAGTGTGCCCTGCCCCGAGGGTAACGCACACATGGGATGTTGAAGACTTGGCCTAAGATATGTAAAATATCAGAGTTTTTATAGGGATTACATATGGAAGCAATATTTTTTATATATTGAGTTAAACAATTTCACAGGTTTTTCTTTATTTTATATTTAAATGTGGCTACTAGAAAATTAGAAATTACATTTGCGACTCACACATTTCTAAGCAATTTGCCTCAGGTCACACAGCTCATGTGAAGCAAAGTCGGGACTCGGGCAGTCTGTTGACCGCGTGGGCCCTCAGGTTTGTTAACTGTACAGCCGGGACAATGACGACACCTCTCTGATCCGGGTCCTCGTGGAGGTGCCAAGCATGTATTGGCCTCTCTCTGTTACAAGCGCCCTCTAGGGAACGCCACTTCCCATCCGTAAAACAGAGCTAACGTCCAGGTTCTCCCCCGCCCCCACCCCGGGCACTCCTGCTTCACATCCCTCTTTGCCTGGCTTTCTCTCTCTCCCAGCTGCCAAGTCATTATGCACACCCATGGTCGTCACATGGCATAGACAGAGATACACAGATACAGACATATACATACAGGCACACAGGTGTAGAGGTACACTGACAAATACGCATACCTTGTAGAAGCAGATAAGCTTCTCACCCTGACGACAGAGATTTTGTGTGCTGCTCTACCGTCCGCAGCTAGGACAGCGTTGGGCATGTACTTGGCACTTGATAGGTATCTGTTGAACGAACGAATGAACGAATGAGAGACAACATGGAATGTGCTTAGCCTGCACTGACATGACCCTTCCTGCAGGCATTCCCATGCCATGATGGGAGGTTCAGACCTGTGCGTGTGAAGAAACCATCTTCTGCTCACTCCTTTGGTTTCCCCAAGCATGTGTTCCTCGCCTCCTTGTCCTGGCTGGTATGGTGGCCATTTGGACAGGTGTCCTGGTCCCTCCCCTGGGTTGGGCTTGGCCCTGAGGACGGGAAGTTTGCCTAGCGGGTCTCTCCTGGCCCGCACCTGCGCAGGAGCGTCCCATCAAGTCCCAGGCAATTAAGGACAAGGCAAACAGTGCTTCGCAACCCGAACCTTAGGAAAGAGCGCCTTATCTTTCAGGGTGAGGAGAACCCGGGTGAGGTCGGAACAAGACGGCGCCCGCCAGGGTAAGAGTACGGACAGAATGAGAAAGCAGGCAGAAGTTGAATCTTTCTTTAAGAACCATCGTTATTTCCCCAGAAGGGGGTGCACCGTTCCCGGAGGTACTGCAATACCGGGTCGATGCGTGGAGTGGACGGAGCAAGCTCCTATTCCATCTCCCTGCTCCAAAAATACATTTAATATAATGTCCTCGGATAGAGGACGTATCAGATATTAAACTGATAAGAACAGATACTACACTTGATCTTAGCCAAAAGGCCGAGAAGCGATGCCCACCGCTCCGCCCGCGCCGGCACCCTCCTCTTTCCACCACTATTTCACTCACGGTGATCCCGATCACCATCAAGCCAAGTCTCATCTCCACAGTCTCTTGACAGATATAGAGGACACATTAGAGACTCTGTGAAGATTTTTTTTCAATTCTCTACGTTTTTAAGTGAATTCTTATCTCCGCTTGGCGCGGTGGCCAAAGGGTCGATGCTCATTTGCATGCCCCGCCTTTCCCGTGCGGGTAGGCCGACCCTACCGGCGCCGTTCGGGCTTTCGGCCCCTCCTCGGGACGACCTCTGCGCGCAGAAGCGGAAGGTGGGCTGCGGCCGAGCTCCTCCGCGGTACAAGCGCTAGTGAAATGACGGGACCCAGGGGATGTGGGCGGCGGCGGACCGAGCGGTCGGGAGAAGGATGCCGTCGGGTCATGGCTGGGAAGACGAGAGGGTCCCCCGGGGCTGGCTCGGTCCAGGACCAGGACTCGGCCGCCGGCCGAGAAACGCCCGACCGGGGTCGCCGGGCAGGGGCCGCAGAGGAAAAAGTTAGTCCCGGAGGTCCGGCCCCGCGAGGCTGACTCCCTCCCTGGAAAGAGCTCTACCGGGACCCCCGCCCTACCCTGTCGGCGGGGCACTTGGCCCAGCGCCTGCAGCTCCCGAGCCCAGCGTCACGCCCGCCTTGGGGACTGAGGGAGCGTCAGCGGAGCTCCCGAGGCCGCCGGGTGTGGGTCCTGTGTCCGCGAGGTCCGCTGCGGTTTCAGTGCCGGGGCTGCGACCCGGAAACAGCTGGGCCCGTAGGTATCGCACGGGCCCGGCCGCGGACAATACAATAGGAAGCATCTCGGTCGGGCCGGGCCTCGTGCTAAGTGCTTTCCTCGGTTCGAACCTGCACAGTCTCCCTGCAGGGCCAGTAGTTGAGACCGAGAGGTCGGGCCGCTTGCCCCCAACCACCGGGCTGGTGCGTGGGAGAGGCATCCATTTCAGACGCCGCCTCTATCATATAAAAATTGTATCTCTCTCTCTCTCGATATGTTTATTTTTAGACTCCTTTCAGGGCTTTTCTTTTTTAAAAAAATATATATGTTTACTGATTTCAGAGAGGAAAGGAGGTAGAAACATCAATGATGAGAGAACCGCTGATCGCCGCCTCCTTCACGTCCCTACTGGGGGGATCAAGCCCGCGACCCGGGCCCCTTCAGTCCGCAGCCCCGCTCTATCCACGGGGCCAAACCAGCTAGGGCGTGGGCTTTTCTTTTTTAAAAAAAATCTTCTGCCTTTTAAAAAACCTGTCGATTCAACTGATTCTTTGGGTCACGCCGGCCACCGGGTGCGTCCTGGGGCGGCGCCGGTGAATGTGACCTGTGCCCGTGGTGGGCGAGGGCGTCCTCGCTCCTCCATCCCCTTCTGGCTGCCGCTCTGGCCACATCCACCCTCCACGAAGCTGCTGGGGAGCCCGTGCGCGCCCGGAGCAGGTCCGCCTGCCTGGGCCCCGGCGGCGACCGCAGGCGCCCCGTGGGGAGCTGATATAGGGTTAAGCCTCGGACTGACCTGTGGGCAAAGTCATAAACAATTCCCAGCTTAGAGGGCACAGTCCTCTTAGCATAATTAGGCTTGACCTTATAACGCTCCCTAGATCTTACTCGGGAAGCTAATGGGCTGAGGGAAGTACAACAAGAACAAAAACAAGTGAAACTTACAAGAACAAAAACAAGTGACACAAGAAAAACAAGTGAAACTCACAAGAACAGTGTAAACAAGTGAAACTTACAAGAACTGTGTAACTATGGAAACCACTACCTTGTTTACCACTCACTATAAAATAAAGGCTCAGCTTGCCTTGGGATCTTTTCTCTGTGGCCTCAGCCAGGCACAGGGAAGATCCACGGAGACTAAGGAAAGCTAGAGACTTCTGAACGCTGTCTCCGTGTAAAACATTCTTCGCCGACTCCGTCCGCACCTTTGGGAACCCCTGGTCCCCATGGGGCTGGACCCCAACACGCTCCGGACATCGGAGGGCTGCCGGGTGCCTGGCCAGCTGCGCGGACGGCCCCTCGCAGCCTGCGCCCGCTGTGCCTGCAGCAGCCCTGCCCTCGCCGTGTCCACCCTGGCCTCGTGGACAGCCCATCGGGGTCTCTTCGTCACAGTAGTTTTCACAGCAGGTTGGGGAGACCTTGTTGGACAGAGATACCGTTCTGTTTTCTCAAACTTCGCTCCCTTCTTTCTGACCCTTCTCTCTCCCCTCCTCATTCTCTCTCTCACTTCTCTCTCTCATTCATTTCCAAAGTCTGCACGTCTACGACTCGCAACAGAGCTGGGTCAGCGGGGGTGACTGTGCCGTGGGGAGGAGACTCTCCTACAACAGCCAGCAAAGTGAGGGCTGCATGTGCCGGTGTCTAGAAGAGCTCGGGTGGGACAGCTTCCCGCAGCCTTGCTGCTCACGGCGTGATACTGACCAGCAGCACTGGCGTCACCGAGGAGCATGTTAAAAACGCAGGAACATGGGTCTCAGACCTACTGAATCCGAATCTGTTAACAAAACTCCCCTGGATTGCACATGCACGTTCAAGTTTGAGAAGCCTTCTGCTACTGGACTTGATGGCTGAAGGAGAGAGGCTGAGGGAGAAGCAGCGAATATATTTTTCAGGATTTCAACCTCCACTTCCAACAGATGAAATCCAATTCCTCACCACTCTTTTCTCGCCCTTCCCTTCTAAGTCCCTGCAGAGTCTGCAAAGCCGTTTCTAGAATCTTCTGGTGGTGAGAGAGGATAGGAAGGCACCCATACACCTGAGCTACATTTTTCTTTTTGAGTTGTGACGAGGAGGCTCTAAGAACTATGGGAGTTACATATGATGACGGTTAAAGAGGTATGTATGGGCCGGCGGAATGCCTGGCCCACACTCCCCTCACTCCCAGTGTGCTCTGGATCTTGGGGCTAAAACATAAGAGTTTGTGTGCTGGAGAGCAAGTTTCATGGCCAGCTAGACTGGATCCATAAAAGTAGTTAGACTCAAGGAAAAGAATGAAACTAAAATAAAAAGAAAATAAAAACACAACACCCCCCCCCCCCAAACAACAACAAAAACAATAATAAAACACGAGTTAGACTCAACTAAGAACTTGGCTTCAAAACTTCCTTGCCATTATTGAGTGCCCACTGGTGTGCCAGCAAATCCTTATGGTTTCCTTCAACAACGAAAGGTGTTATTTTTCCAATTTTGTGTCTGAAGAAACTGAGGCTGCTGAGGCTGACTTCCCAAAGTCCTCAGGTTTCTTCTTCTTCCTCCCTAGGCATTAAGGGACCCCGTGCTCCTGGCTGGCGGTTTTATATCTTTATTATGGATGGATCCTTATTCCCATCCACTTTGTGAGAAAGCAGTGGGTGGTCACTTTGTCTGTTATCTGAGGAAGATATTCCACAACTGGCTTCCTGGGCCAGTGTTTTTTGTTATTGGCTGAGATAAACTAATTTATTACCATCATAATAGCTACCAGGTATAGAGGATTTGTATATGCCAAGCCCTTTGCTGAGTACCTCACTTACTTTATTTTCATAATAACCCTATGAAATAAGTATTATCACCCGACTTTCCAGATGAAGTGATTGAGGCTGGGAGAGATAAGCCACTTGCCCACGTGCTCACTGGGAGATGTTGAAATCAGGGTTGGAACTCATCTTCCCAGCCGGTGGGCCTCAGAGTGTGGTCCCAGGGCCGGCAGCATCAGTCTCACCTGAGAACTTGTTGGAAATGCTCATTCTCCACCGGGGACTGACTGGCTGACAGAAATTCTGGAAGTGGGGCCCAGCAGTCTGTGTTTTGTCAAATCCCCCACATTATTCTGATGTGTTCACAAATTTGGGAACCACTCTTTGAAGCTGTACGCTCTCAATGTATGCAGGGCAACATTGGTGACAGCTCTCAAATGCTGAAGACTGGATCCAACTGTTAAGGTCACTGGGGATTGGTTCCTGTTGTGGATGCTGTGAGGAGCCCATCAGCTGGGGTAACTGGCCAGGCATCCTGTTCCCTTCAGAGTGTGGGCCAGCTCTCCGCCTTCCTCATCTCCCTGCATCTCTCTAACTGGGTTGTCCCTGCCCCCTTGTCATTGCTGCCCAGGCATTTCCACCCTCTCGGGGCTCCTTGTTGCTGTTTCTTACCGACCACCCAAGACCCCTCCTCCAGCCAAGGCCACCCCATGCAAATGGATGCTGGACACCTGTGCCCACGTGGGTCTTTCCCCACAAACACTGCAACATGGCTGCAAACTGAGCTCTTCATTACCTTCCTGCCCTGCAGCCTCCTCCTACCTCCGCCTTCCCTGCCAGGTCCTCAGTAAAAGTGTGAGAAATAGAATTAAAATTAGATTTTTCTGCTCAAATAATGTTCATTCAAATCTGATCTCACCTCCACAACAAGCAAACAAACAAACTTGAAGAGGGCAGAGTTGCCATTCCCAGCCCCAAACTGTACAAGGCCCTGTCTGAAAGGACTGCAGGAGGCGAAGGAACCTGTAGGACTTCAGGCTCGCCTCTCCTTTTCCTCAGGAGTCAGGCAGTGGCGCGCAGAGCCACCAGGGCGCAGCATCTGCTGCTTCCCAGCCTTGGCTGGGGCTGGGACTTGGTTTTGGAAGGGTTGCCTCTGAAAGGGCCCTTGGGAGGGGAGGAGGGTACCTA